TTTAAAATATCCCATGGTTAGCACAAATCTAACTACTTCACACCGTAATTTGCGATCCTCCTTGATTCCCACACAAATCGATCTTAACAACTGCTCCGACGTCCAATTATGTGCTCTCTCGAACTAACAACATAAACTAAGTAAACTTTATGTTCAAAGCTATTCTAAAACCGGCGCTCGATCGAACGCGTCGAATCTGCGCGTCCGTGGCGGCGAATTAAAAAAAACAAATTCCGCGATATCAAGATTTAACCCGGCCGCTGTCCGGCGCACGCGGCGGCTATTATCTTTGACCTGTAAATCAATTTTCGTCGGTGGGCCGCGCGCGCGGCCGAAAAAAAAAAAAAAGAAGAATCCCCGGCCGTGAAAATATTTACCGGAAATCGTATCTCTTTCGACGGGTCACTGTTCGGCTTGCTGTCGCGCGAAATCCGGTTGATCGTCACTCGGGCCATTCATGACCGTGAAATGCAATTAATTAACCTTTCGCAGCGAGACGTGCGTTCGATTAATTGTCCGCTTTTCGATTTTTATCGCGCCACGCCTCTCTCCCTCTCTCTCTCTCTCTCTCTTTCTCTTCTGACTTTTGGTTTTATTAAAAGAAAAAGAAAAAAAGAAAAGAAAGAAAGAAAAACCAGCAGCGAAAAACTGAATAAGTTTATCGAAAATATGTAGGTGGAACATCGATCGAGGAAAAAAAAAAAGAATCATCACGCCACCTGCATGGATTCGAATTTCGTTGTCTCGCTTGTCGCGAGCTTCGTACGGACGATATTTCACGGTGGAATTGAATCAAGAAATACAAATCGGAATCCTTCCTTATTTTTTCCTCTTCTTTTTTTTGTTCGGAAATTATTTTGCTCACTTTCCGGACGGCACGTAGGGTAATTTCGGGGAGCAGGTCTTTCGGGGATACGTGGCGTTTCGCCGAAAAAAGAACTCGCTTTTCCCCACTTTCCTCGCTATTTCTCCTGGGTCGTTTCTCCCGGGGCTAATGGCTGCTTTTCCCACCGGTGAATGAGAAAATACGGTGTATATGAAGAGAATGTGAAAACGAAGGTTATCAACGGTGTCCGATATGTTTTTGTTTGTCGGGGCAAGAACCAAAAGAGAGCAAAAGCGGGCGTGATATCGTGACGAGATATTTTCCGAGATGGCGGAGATTTTCGCCTGATCTTCGAGTTCACGAGCTTCACGGTACACGCGAGGGTTCTAAATTTTTTACACCGATAGCATGTGTTTCTTTTTTTTTTTTTATATATGCTGTATTATTATATTGAATTTATCTTTCTAAATCGAATTTCTCTTCGATGAAATTCAGTATTTCGAATGGAACAATTTTCTGCATGCAACGATTTAAACAGTCGGTTTGCCATTTACACCGTGCGCTCGCAGAATAAGTGTAAATTAAAACAAAAAAAAAAAAAAAAAAAGAGAGAAACTTCCCCGTATGACCATAATTCGATGATCAGGGTCAGTAGTTGTGCTTTATCGGGGTAGAATGATACACGGTCGCATGCTGTTCCGAAAGAGTTAATGGAGGCAAAGCAGGGTGGAGAGAGTGTCATGAATCCTTTCGTATCGTTGCACACTGTCGATGCCGTGTTCGATGGTATCGCGGTCCATGAGCCCCAGGTTCGGGTTATTTATTGCCAGAATCCGGCTGTTTTTCGTTACTTGATCACTGGAGAATTTTTCTGCGTTATTTTGACAGCGAATATAGGCGAAGTTCGGCAGTACACTTCCTCCAACGAACTCTCTTCGAGTCAACAAAACTGCATCAGACGAACTGTCGGATTTTCTAAATCAAAGTTTCCTATAAATTATACACCTTCGATTATACAAAACGTGAAATTAACTGTAAAAGTAAAATTGCAAATTAAACGTAAGGCGATGTCGTTGGTTATTGGAGTTAATTAAATTCACTTAACGAAGAATGTGGAATGTAAGATATAAAATTTTGGTATTTTAAGTTCAATTGCAAAAAAATGGAAAATTGACAATCAAGAATCGTTGAGAGGAATTTAAATCGACGATTGAAAACCGATCCCTTTCCCAAAAATTAATTAAAATAATACAATGATCTTCCACCTGTCGACCAGTCGCAGTTTTTAATTATTATCCTTTCTTTTTCTCTCTCTCTCGCGAGAATTCAACAGTCAATTTCATTTCCTTGCTCGATCGGTAAAACGAGATAGTAGTTAAGGGCGCTCTGTTAACGTCCAATTGAACTCTGACCGGCGGGGAAATAATTACCCATCGCCGAATGGAACACGGAAATGTCTCGAAGCGAGCGAAAGCTCGCGGAATTAGAATTTCGTTTTTCTAGTTGAACGATAATTCACTTGATGAAGGGGAAAAGAAACAAACCGACAGGGCAGCGCCTTTAGAACGAGCGATTGGTCCGTCACGCAATTCGAATGGCACGCGCGAGATCGTTGTTACGAACGAGAAAGTGGTAGGAGGGTGGAATGGCTTGGCCATTATTGCGCCGTGTCGTGGAAGTCGATAGGAAAGTTGCATTTGAATTTCCGGCGACAGATGAATTATTACGGCCGCGATAAGGAGTTTTGTACGAGCAACGAAGCATAAGGGAAGAACGCAAGTACCATAACCGCTTACATTTCGCAGAGAGATAAGCGGCCATTGCCGCCATCTCGATACTCGTTCCATCGCGCAACATCTGCCATTTTTATTCCATCTTACGCTCGCGGATGTTCCCGTGCAATTTCCACTTCTCGCGTTTCTATTACACTTTACTCTTTTCTCCTTGTCATATCTGTTTCGTAAAGCGGGAAGGGCCAAATTGTTAACAATGTTCACTTGAGCCTCACTGTTGAGGAAACTCTAGCGACTCACGACGACCTGACTGTTGTTATTATCTCAAATTTCCAAACAAGTACCAGATTGTCGATTGTGTCGAAGCATTTTCTGAAATGAAATTTTCAGCTGTGCTTTGGAGAATAAAAGAATCACTGGCGGCCACAGTCAACTCGTTGAGTGATTTATTTTTCAAATCTCTCGGAATCAAATGTTTTTTCGGAGTAAAAAAAAAAAAAAAAAAAAAAAATAGGAATTGTTTATCAGCAGCGATGGCTCTCCGAAAATGCGAGGTTCGTTTCCACCCGGGACAAATACGTCTATTTATAAAAGTTATCCAATACCGTGGACCACGCAAGATCGAGCGCTGCATGGTTAATTGTTGCAGTTTCGAAAAACACAGTTTCACCTGTTGAATCATTTCCGATGAAATTTACGTTTGTTTTTCAAACAGCGGCCGACGACCACGGGATTGCTGGTATTTTTTTTTTTTTTTCTTGTTAATTCGAAACTGAAAATTACGATTACGCGGCGTGCCTCTGTTTCGTAATTAGCGGTCCACCGGTGTGTATAAAGCGCGTTATCGTTATGGCGCTGGACGGTGAAACGGTCAGTGCTCCCAACAACTGGTTTCAGATAAATTTCCCGGTGAAGGGTTCGTTACTATCTTTTTTTTTTTTCCTCCCATTGAAACGGAAATTACTTTTCTCCTTTTTTGTTTTTATTTTTCACCAGCGCCTTTCGAGCTGCAGTGTAATTTTATTGAAAATTCTCGCATACGTCGCCGATATAAGAGGCAAGATGTGCTCGTCGAATTCTATCGGAATGAAAATTACACGTGGTGAGGTAGGAATTCGCTCTGATTTTCATTTTTGATTTCACGCCGCCAAAAAAGTAACGCCGTTTTATTTCTTCTCACCTGTGTACATTTCGATACGTATCCTGCCTGTAGTAAATTGCTACGATGAATAATTTATCGCGCGATATTGCAAGGTCGATGGTGTAATACATAGTCGATTCTCTCTCTCTCTCTCTCTGTCTCTCGTTGATCGCGTATTCGCGTGTGTTTCGTCGTCCCGTCGATACGATTCTCTTATTTGCAGTAATAGCCATCGTTCTACTCAAAACGTTCGCTTATGTAAAGAGCACGTGGTATTTTCAGACGTTGCGTAACGTCGTATGGATTCGTGGAGGTTGAAGTCGTTTAGAGGGTCGTTAGGTTCGTGTCATTAGAATTCGAAATTATTCGAAGAAATTACTCGTGTTGTGTTAAGGATCAAGAGACTTTGAAGAATTTGAAGACTACGGTCAATCGTAGAAGGTGTGCCATTGAGAATCGAGATTACGTTGGAAAATTAAACAAATTGAATAACAAGATTTATGGAAAAAATAACCGATGCCGTGAATCTATTCGGAACGAGATTATTTAATTTTTTTAATGAATAATTATATTATTCTACAGATCTTTCTAATAATATTCTAAAGAGAGAGACAATTTAATTATCTAACAGTTAATTATACTCTGTACATTGAATAACAAAATTTATGAAGAACTACGCGACGTGAGTCTACTCAGAACGAAATCATTTAATTACCTAACAGTTAATTATATTCTAGAGGGAGAATGATACTCTATACACTGAATAATACTATGAATACTAAGAACGAGATAATTTAACTATATTTTAATTAATGTACTCGACATTCTGCAATTTCTCGATCCTCCAACCAAGCTCATACTCGTTCTATGTTCTTTCATAAATATGGCCAGTGGTTTTCTCATAAAAAAAAAAAAAAAAAAAAAAACGAGCAGGAACATCTACCGGTTTTTAATGTAACCCTATGGGACACATCCCGTGGGACACAATCTCCCGAACGTGATTCGCCCGCAGAAACGAATACCCTACTGAACGAGGATCTTGTGCACGTGCGCGGATGCTCGAAAAAAAAAAAATATATATATATATACATAAAAAAAAAGAAGAAAAATTACAAAAAAATGCCTCCGAGGGAAAGCGGAGAAAGTAAACGACAGGAACGTCGCGATAAGAGCCGGCGGCGTTTATTTAACCCTTAAAAGCTTGCCGGCATCCAATTTCTTCCCTTCACCGGTCAAGTTTCACCGGGCAAACTCGCCCGGGTTAATAAACATTCACCCGTTGCTCCTCTTTCTGTTGCAGCTCTATCGGCACACGTACCTGGCCCACTACAGGATCGTAAACCTGCAGAACCGGTAAGCAAACGAGCAAACGCCATTTAACCTAATCGTATCTCAAACGTTTTCCACCCGGCGTCGACTCTTTCTCCTTTTTCTTTTTTTTTTTTTTTTTCTTTTACATTTGCATTTTAATCTCCACGTTCGCTAGAAAGAAAACGATGGCCGCCGGCGTGCAAATTGCGACCGATTTTCGCGGTTTTAGGTTAGGTCCCTCCTGGAGGACGAAATGCAAAAGTTTGCTTTAGAGGGAAATGCTGGTCCATTATGTCGCCACTCGTATAGCATACAACGTTGATGCAACGTTTGTTCTATAAAAGTTGTAAAATTAAATCGTTGGCTCGATAGTTATGAAAGACAAAGAGAATTAAGATTAAAAGAACATCTCCTAAACAAGTAACTTCGCGACATACGTAGACCAATAGCTTTTTCTACATAGAGACTGTCGAGTTGCATCAAAAGGTTTAAAATTTCGTTTAAAAAATTTAATCGTCCCCGTTTATAACGTCACGTTACAATATTGGTTGTAAAGGAAACATCACCTTTTTCAAAAACTTGCCATTTACGAGTGAAGTGCCGGTTCATCATGGTTGCGAACGGTTGACGTTGATGCACGCTTGTTCTTCAACGGGACGCGAAACGAGGGCACGGACAGTGCGTAAAGAGCACTGTCGTAAATGTTTCCGGAACGAGCTTCCGGTTTGAAAGACGACCGCGGGTATTACCGAGACTTTGAAGGGTTTGAACTTTCGAAATACGCTCGGCGCGAACAGCGAGAAAGTTCTCGGCCGTTTTTAAAATCGTTTTCGACCCTTCTTCGCCCCTCCGACCGGCGGAGGGGGAGGCGAGGCAAAAACCCTCTAACCTTTCGGACAATATTGGTTGTTACGTTTCCGTGGAACTTTCATGCGCCATTCGAAACTTTATGGAAGGCTTCCGTGGCTTTCCGTCAGCTTCCGGTCTAACGTCGTTTGCCAAGCGGATAATCCGCCGGGAATCGGTTTTCACTCCCACCCCTCCCGGCGTAAACCTACTGCTTTAGCATTAAGGAATCTTAAGATGAAAACGCTGATCGATATTCGGGGGGGTAATTAGCGGCGTATTTTCGGGAGTTAGCTGTTTAAATTGATGCGCACAGGGATTAACACGTTCGCAATCGGCGAGGGAGAATTTACTACGCGATCTCGCGTATGAGTTACTCTACCGCTTGGAATCTTGCGATATACTTTTTTCTAACCGATACTCTTCGCAGGTAATACAATTTTCAATCCTAACGGCACTTGCGTACCTTGTTTGTAATACCCTGTAAACATCAACGTTTTACAAATTCGTTGTTGTACGAAATTAAATTGTTTCAACTTTGAAATAAACGTAATACTCGTATTGAAAGTTTTAAGTACATGATAGGTTTATGTTAATCAACGCACTTTGCATTAATTATATTAATCTTCACAGAATATGAAGAATAATTGTTCAGTTATCGTCAGCTGCAATTAGCTGTCAATTGTAAATATGCTTTTTCACATGAATCATTACACGTTGATAACTTGAAAAGCATAAATATTTGTTTTTTAAAAAAAAAGGTGGAATAAAAATTTATTTTCACGTTCGGATAGTCCAGATCTGTCATTCTTCAAAAGAAAAGTCAGGGGTAATAAATTTCATAACATCAGAGCGTCGTAATTGTTTTCGTATGGACGAACGATGGCATAATTGTGTTTCTCGAGCGAGATACGCGCGTAGGTTCGAGTTAACTGCGACCCAGATAATTTCCCCTCCCACTTGACATTGCTCCCGGTATAAATATGAACGCTTAAACGGCTAAATCTGCAAGTAGAATGCCACAATTATTCTTACGAGCGAGCGATGGTATTACGGTGTAGGTGGCAGTTATTAAATATTGATGAGGAATGCTTATAGCTCTATGATTGCTATAGATGGTATCGGAGCAGTGAATATAGATGGCGTTCTAGATATAGGTTAGGTGCAATTAGAAGCCGAGGTGCGAGCAATGCGCGCTATAACTGTTTCCATATCCTTTCCATATCGGAATGGGTAGTTTACTTAATTTAGTTTATTTCACTTTCAATTAATTCTAATTAATTCATGTAGCATCGATTTCATGCTTTTGTCGGTGCGAAAATCACCGTGTAAGAGGATTTATGATCAGAAAAAGGGTTACGGAAGACTGTAATAGCTATTTTTGAAAATTAATTCCCAATGAATGAGGGAATTATGTCAGTTGTGAAATAGCTCTCTTTTTCTCTCTCTCTTTCTCTATAATGTCGCCTCTACCACTAAGTTATCTCGCTTCTATAATTTCGCTCTTGCGAAAGTGTCTTTTGTTAAGACCGCTCGAAGGAAAGACGCAAAATATTGTTACTTTCACGCGTAGTATCGCGTACTACGAGAAATGTCTCCTTTGAGATATCACTATGACGTGAAGTGTGAGATACTTCGTCAGTGATCACTGCGAAACATAGATGCGACGAAATGTCTCTCTCCGAGAGATATCACGGCAATGAAAGGATCAATGTGCCATCTGCGTAAACGTAGACGTTTAGTACGCGTTTAGTTTCACTTTTCAAACGTTTCAATCTCGATTTTTTGCCCGAGCCTCAATAGCAATTACTCTGTCGCTGAATCTCAAGTGCTGCGCGGACCCTTAACGGTCCTTAACGTCACCGGAGGAAAGTTCGAAAGGACGAACGGAACTTTCACTCAACCCCCCGAGTGACTTGCTCCCCTTTTCTTCTTCAGGAAGAAACGCGCCGAGGGCGTGATGAAAGGGAGAGCAGAAGAGTGGATTTTTGTGAAATGCAAACGGTCTTGCCAGTCAGTTTTAATTAGAGAGCGGTTTTAGAGGAACAGTCGAGGAGAACTAATCTCGTAGCAACTGTCGAGGAGGATTTACAGTTCGATTCGAGGAACTTAATCCTCACGCGCAGACAAATAATAATGTACAGTTCGTGTATCGTTCAAAAAATCTTCAATTTTATGGTCTCGAGTCACGCTTGGGTGGTCCTTCGGGAACATTGTGCAATAATCAGGAAAAAATACACGTTGATTTGTAGCAAGTACAATTTATAATTGAGTTAAAGAACAGTTCACGTTCAGAGAGAATGAATCCTATAGTGACGATTTTCTAACATAGACACGATCGGATCTTCACATACGCGTCCATCTATAGTTAAACGTTCGATAATTGAAACGGAAGCATCGAAATTGCCTCGACTCACTAATTCAATTACGATCTTTGGAGGGCATTAAGAACGCAGTTGATCACACATGCAGTCGTTAGCCTGTCAGACCTTTGATTGGAACGTCTGTTAAAAAGAGCTGGAGAAATTACAGCTCGATAATTCCGGAGCTTCGGTATTCTTGCTTCCCCTCTAATTCTTCGCCATTTTCACGCCGGCAATTTCGCCACGGCCGATTGCGCCGACCGTCAAAAAGAAACGGAGATTCTCTGTTTTTTTGTGGACCTTGTGATGGATCTTTCAGTCTTCGAGATCACCTATTTCTTTCAGCGAGAACTTCAATGTCTATCTTTTGTTTTATTTTTTTTTTTTTATTATTATTCTATATATTTCCTTGTTACGAAAAAAGAAACTTGTTTCATCAAGAGATTTAACTAACAATTGAGGTAACTTTTCATGCTCGTCGAATGCACGATGATCCAACATTTTCAAAATTATATAAATGAAATTTGATACTAGAAAAAAAAAAAATTTGATACTAGAACTACCGACGATTAAAGAATAAAAATTTCCATCAGAAACATCGAAGACAAAAAAAAAAAGAAAAAAATATACAACGCAAGCTTCTATTCATACATTTTACGAAAATTTATTTGCATCTTTAAAAATACATAGTTCTTACGTTTATACAATGTCTAAATTATAAATTATAAATTGGTCATTTTGACCATTCTCTATTTCAAGAAAGCTTCTCTAGAGATTTCTAGATATCTATATGGTTATTAGACAATGAAATCGGCGAGAAATGTTTCAAGCGCGAGCATTTAAATTAAAATCACCAGCCGAAATGGAACCAGGCGATGAGAAGCGAGTGTAATTCAAGATTCGAGGAGGACGGAGATCTCTTAATTTTCTCCAGACGTCATTTTTTTTTTTTTTGCGAGATGTCGGACGCGAGACAAGGAGGGTACGCCCGATCGGCAAATTGAAATCTGGAATTCATATCCGAGGCGGCGGCGATGGTGGCACGAAAATTTCATTTTCGATGGCACGTGGGAAATTCGTCGAGCGTTCTTTAACAGCCTACTGCGAGAGGGGAAAAGAGAGGGGGAAGAAAAATGTCAGCATTAGGGGAACGTGCAGCGTTCGTTCGTCCTTCTGGTCACGCGATCGAAGTCATTCACGAGCGCTCGACCAAACCCCTTTGACTTTTTGTTCTTAACTCATCAACTCGTCCCGCCGCGGCTTTCCCCGTATTTTCCACGTTCGCGCCTGATCTCTCTGTCGACCGCTCCTTTCACCGATTATCATATTTATGAGAGAGTTGTTTCCCACCTTCTGCGAGGATCGCCAAGGAAAATTGTATTTGAGCGCGGCGCCGGCGTTGTTCGATACTTGGATCCTCCAAGTTGTAAGTGATTACAGGTGGCTGAGCACTTTGGCGACGTTGTCGGTTGTTTAATGTTTCACTTCATTGAATCTGAACGTGTCACCTGTTGTTTCTATCGGGTAGCGAGACGTTTCGAGGAAGGCTCTGGCTCTCACCTGAATGTCGAAAAACCAAAGAGTTTGTTGCAACGAATTTTCTGCCATCTGGTGTTGTTTATGTCAAGTGATACGACGTGCAGCTTTTTTTAGTTAGAATCGCAGAGCTCGAGGGAAAAGTAAAATCCTCCTGGCTGTTTTTATTTATAATTTTCTTTGAAATTTTCTTTAGATAGTTTCGCGTAGTTCTTAGACGAGAGTAAAATTTCTAAGACCATTTATTAACATACAGTTCACCGGGGGACAAAGGCCAAAGAGACTGAAACGGAACGA